GCGCGACGAGGCCACAATCATTGAGTTTCCTTTGGCTTTTGAAAAGATGTTGGCATTTGCGTCTTCTCGGGATTCCGACGGCTCAAGACGGCGCAAGAGGCCCCCAAGATCGCCCAAGAGGCTTCCAAGATGGCCCCATGACGGCCCAAAAGGCGCCCAAAACGGTCCCCAAAGGGCCCCAAGACGGCCCGAGAGGCCTCCAAGACGCCCAAGATGGCCTCTAAGAGCCCCTGATATGCCCCAAGAGGGCCCCAAGACAACCCAGACAGGCCCTCAAGACGGCTTCCGACGGCGTCAGACAAGCCAGGAACACCCTAAGACGGCCAAAGAGGCCCCCAAGAAGTCCCCAAAGGCACCCAAGAACCCTCCAAGAGGCCCCCAGGAAGCTCCCAGGAGGCCCCAGAAGTGCCCCAAGAGGCGCCCAAGAGGCCTCCTCCTCCTCCTCCTCCTCCTCCTCCTCCTCCTTTTCTTCTTTTTTCCTCATCCTCCCCCTCCTCCTCTTATTGCTCCCCCATGTGTTCCCCGAAGTGGTTCCAAACCGACTTGGGGAACAACTGGCCCGATAGCTTGGCCAAACTCTGGCCCAGCTGTCGGCCACAGAGGTGCTTCCAAAGGGGCAGGGGGCGGCAGTGATTCGCCGTAGGCGTCTTCGATCCGCCGCCCCCTGTGTCCAAGATGGCCTTCAAGACGGCCAAAGAGGCCCTCAAGCGGCCTCCAAGAGGCCCTCCAAGAAGGCACAAGAAGTCAAAATCATTGATTTCTATTGGGTTTCTCAAAAATTTTGACTTTTGCTTCTTTTCGGCTTTCCGACGACCCACGACGGCGCAAGAGGCCCTCCCGATCGCCCAAGAGGCCTCCAGGATAATCCCAGAGCGGCCCAGGAGGCCTCCAAGAAGGCCCCAAGAGGGCCCCCAAAGGACCTCCAAGACGGCAAAGGTGGCCTCCAAGACGGTTAAGATGGCCTCAAGATGCCTCCAAGACGGCCCAAGATGCTCCTAAGACGGCCTAACAGGGCCTCAAGAAAGCCAAGACGGCCCAAGAAGCCCCGAAGAGGCCTCCAAGACAGCCCCAAGAGGCCCCCAAGACGGCCCAAAAGGCCTCCAAGACGCTCAAGATGGCCTCCAAGACGGCCCAAGAGCCCTCCAAGACGACCTCCACAAAGGCCCGAAAGGGTCAAAGTGGCCTCCAGGCGGCTAAGGTGACATTCAAGATGCCCACGTGTTCCCCGAAGGCTTTCCAAACCGATTCGGGGAACACATGGTACATGGTCCGATAGCTTGGCAGGTCTAGCCACAACGTTCGGCCACATAGGCGCTTCCAAAAAGGCAGGGGTCGGCGGTGATTCGCCGTAGGCGTCTTCGATAAATCCAGAGTGAGAAGGGGAGGGACGGAAAAAGAGAGGAAGGAAGAGGGCGAAGGAGGATCACATCAGTCGGAGCGCCCCCGGATCGGCGGCACTGGCCGGAGGCCACTACAATAAAAGGGTCGGGCGGAGGGGGCGCGCCAGCTGGCGGGCGGGGGGTCCGGAGGGGGCGAGGGGGGCGGGGGGGGGGGCGGGCGCGGCGGGGGCGCGCGCGATTGGGGGGGGGGCGCGCCGAAATGAAAAGGGTCGGGGCGGAGGGGGCGCGCTGGCTGGCGGGCGGAGGGGCGCGGAGGGGGCGCCGGCGATGGGGGGGCCGCCGCGCCGAAATGTAAGGGCGCCGTGCCGAAACGAAAGCGTCGGGGCGGAGGGGGCGCGCTGGCCGGTGGGCAAGGGGGGGCGGCGGTCTGCGCGGGTGGAGGGGGGCGCGGTGCCGAAAATAAGAGGGTCGGGGCGGAGGGGGCGCTCTGGCTGGCGGGCAAGGGGGGGGCGCGGAGGGGGCGCGTGGGATGGGGGGGGGCCGTGCCGAAATAAAAGTTTGGACACCCGAAATGGGTACCGAAAGAATGGGTACAATGCCCAACAACAAATGTTGTCCCAAACCGACAGCGGCCGCTGTTGGACAGGCGGCCTTCTGTCTCGAATGGACACAGGCCGCGGCGGCGCGGACAGCGAGCCCTGTTCAAAATGAACAGGAACTGCTGTTGGGCATTGTACCCATTCTTTCGGTGCCCATGTCGGGCGTCCAGAAAAAGGGTCGGGGCGGAGGGGGCGCGCTGGCCGGTGGGCGGGGGGATGGGGCGGAGGGAGATAGGGGGCGCGCAGGGGGCGCGCTGGCCAGTGGAATACGTGGGCGACGATGGAGGGGGTGCCGCGCCGAAAGAAAGTGGTCGGAACTCTAAACACCACGCGCAGGATGATAAACTGTGAGGAAGTACCAGGCGGGAGCCGTTGTTGTTGTAATTCGGGGGCCAGGGGCCGAATTCTGAGACCCAAAACGTTCCCTGACAAAGAACAGGGCACGAGCCCCAGGAAGGGCACTTCAATTGAAAAATGAAATGCGCCATGGAGGGAGGGGATCAACACAAATTAATATCAAACTTGATATCATCATTCAACCAGAACGACAAAATACAACAACTACAACAACAATCAATTTAAGACTGTTCGCCACGATGTGCTCGCGTGCCAGCCAACACGTATATCCCACACCCTCGGTACCCGCCATCTTCGTCTTCGATGGTACCCCCTCGGGGGTATAAATTCCTTACCTGCCACGCGCATGCAGCACAGCCCCTTCGAACAAGGGAAAAAGAGACGGATGGAAGGGGGAGGGCGAGGGATGGAGCACGAGAGAGATTAACAGGAGGGGGGCTAGGAGCAGAAAACACGTGATAGAACCAGACGGGCAGATCGGGCGGGCAGACCCTAGCGGGCGGGAAGGTGGGCCCAGGCGCCTCTTCGTCTTCGATCGAACCCCTTTTGGAGGGTATACCTTTCTTCCCTGCAGGCCGGGCCCCGGCAAGCGGCGGGGCGGCCGCGGACCGTCGGCCTGGCCAGCGGCAACGCTGATCGGCGGGGCGGCCACGGACCGTCGACCCGACCCCAAGAGGGACGGACAGCGGACCGACCACGACGACGAC